ATACAATAATGATTTTAAATTTCTTTAGTTTTGCTGCAATTTCTTTATGTTCCTAATTTTGAAAATCTGCATAATTTAGCTTGTTGAATTTACCCATTTTAGAAGAAAAGTATAAAAAATTTAAAAGTTAATAAAATACATAGATGACAATCGCTTCATGATGATGATGACATGATCTCAAAAAAATATTTTCCCTTAAATAAATAATCTTATCATCCTATACAAGTATTTAAATTAAGTTTTTTAATCAGTTTTAGTGCAAACATTATGAACAAATATTTTGCTGTTCATTTTATTTTTTTGTGTCATCAAAATATTAATTTTTGTCATTTTAAAATCTTACTTAATGTATTAAAAATGTTTCATCATATAAACACCTGAAACTGTTTATTATCGGTTGTTAAGTTAAACTGTATTTAATTTTCATTTTATAGTTTCCTCACTTACATACCTATAGTCATTAAATAAATAGTTTTAGAAGTCTATTCTGAATTTCAATTGTAGTAAGTTGCATGGTTTGCATATAAAAATCAATTTAAAGCTGAACTACTGTTCCGACGGCTTAAAAGGATACCAAATGAAAGTATTCCGATTAGTAAACTGATGTGGAAAATAAGATTTAAATTCATCACTTTTGGTTTCAATTTTATTTCTTTTAACAAATTTCTTTATTCATTAATATTTGATAAATGCATGCATGTAAAATGTAGAGAAATTAGAAGCGATCTCGTTATAAAATGAACATGAAGCAATGAGATTTGCACAATATATCATTCGCAAAGATATTATTTCAAAATATTCTTTTGGATTAGCGTGACATATTTGCATGTTTCTTTGAAAGGGCACTTGGTAACATTTCATTAATATTTACCAAATGCCACATGTTAGATTGGCAAATATTTAAATAGTCGTCAATGTTCATTTATTGTCAGTATTGAATTCTATTAATATTTTTATGATTATTCGCTCGTAAATATTGTACAAAGCAGTCTGAATGGAGTCAAAGTATTAGAAATAAGCTTCTGTTAATTTAATTTCTAAAATAGTCTTATAAAGCTTTAAGAGTGATTTTATCTAAGATCAACGCTTATCATACCTCAAACTTGTCAAAGAAACAAAAATCATTCACCAATTCAATTAACCATTAGTATTGCACGTGGCAATGTTTTTACATTCTTCTTCAGAATGAAATATGAAGAACGTTTTCAAAGTGGCTTTAAATGAAATGTTAAAAAACTGAAGCATCAACATAGTATCATATGTAGCAAGAGGCAGTGTTGAAGAGTGGTAACAAAAAAGGCCAAAACTCCCTCCTTCCAAACATTGAATAGTTGAAGTTTGATGAATCTTAATTAAATGATTTTCTGCACACTTGCCCACTGACGATGGCACGCGAACTCTTTTTGGTGTAGATGCGCACAAAAATAATGTGAGAAGGGGAAGAAAAGAACTAATTGGAAAATTGCCTTTTCCGCCCTCGTTTTGGTCTTGATATCAGGTAACTGAAGATTTCTTCTTGCATAACTTTTTTAATATTTGTTTTTGTTGCAAACAGTTGCGTTTACGTAAATCATGAAATGTATTAAGTCACAAGTATAATTAATGATAAATGAATAAAAAAGGATAAGAAATAAGAGACATTCGCACGTGCGTAAAATAATTTGACAAGATCTTTCTTTAGACATTGTCTTGATTATGTACAGTTCATTTGAAAAGGTATCGTTGAGTCTTATTTTAATCAGCGATATAAAACAATTTGAATAAGTTTAGAATGCATGGTAAACCAAACTTTATTGTTTACATTACACCATTAAATATGCATCGATAACAAATTTCTCATCAACACAAATGTTCACATTTTCTTTGTACACCCACCGAGATTTTTTAAGAGAGAATTATTAAAAAAAAAACAATGTCATTAGTGGCGATATCATTTCATGACAAAATTGTTTATTGTGACAAGTGTAGAGGGGGTTGACAAGCGGAAGAGGGATGAATGAAAATAGCAGGATTTGATTACATATTATTTACATTTTGAAACCGAGAATAATCATTTTTTAAATTAAGGTGTCCGTGTCGAGTTACATGATGAACTGTGAGTGCATAAACCACGCACTGTGATCAACGCAATGGCTTAGATTAAATGAATAAAAAAAAACTAAAGGCAGTTACCAATTACCATCACTTCGCTGGAAATGCGAGTCAATTCATGAAGAGTTGTTAAATAATAAAGTAACAAATCGTAAAAAACACTTCGGTGCATTTCAGCTTACGATGCATCCGGCCAAATGCTTCATATTTTCTCGTCAAACCTTTCAGGCTAAATGCAAAGAACCGTATAAGAAAATCTGTAATAAATCTGAAAAAGCAGATTGAAGTGAATTTTATTTAGGGAAAAAACATAAAATAAAAACAGTGTAAAGAAAAAGAATCTTTGTGATTGAATATTTTCAACTTCTCTCTTTGATTTCATTTCTTTTTATGCAATTGGTTTATTTTTCTTATTTTCATTCGCAATCTCTCTTTATTATTGTATCGTTACTTGAAGGCATTAAAATGAAGATTGGAAAAAAGAAGAAGGAATGGAATGGAGATTGTAAAATAAAATAAATCTGAATTCCTTTAAAAGTTGGTAAATTTATTAATGACGTCATGTTATGTACATAAATAATTTTTTAATACATAATGTTATGTATGTATTCAAAGTAACATTTTATGTGGGAAGAATTTTCTTATCTAAACCCCACATGTGACATAACTTTCATATTTCTCATCTACTGATTTAAACCACATAAACAGAACAGACTCCCTGAAACATGGTCTTGCTTCATTGAAGACAATACACAGAAATGAAATGAAATTCGAGCAAGCCCTTGGAAACATAATAATAAATATTGGATAAGAAACAAGCCCTTGCGGGCAGGAACTGGAAAAAATTCTCCTGTGCAAATATCGAATCTGTTTTTGCTGCTTTTGATGGGATGCTTTTTTTGCGGGCATGATGTGTTTGAATTTCAAACAGCGTTACGAGGAAAACTCAAACGAATTTTCAGATATTTTCCGTGAAATTGTAAATTGTGAACGTCGAGGGCGACGAATCCGGATTTATGTAAATGCTTCTACTTGATATTCAAACATGTATGTAGCTCTAGGAATATTATCATCGGATGTTTAAAACATGTTTGAGTGAAAACCCCTTTTTCGGCAATATGGATGGAAAATGTCTTCGGGGGCTGTAAGGATTGCGAAACAAGGCTTGTGTGATTTCATTTTGTGAATTGAATATCTAAGGATGAGACTAAGCCTACCCAGTTAGAATGGCATATTCAGAAGAGTTCCGTGGTGCAAAGCGATATACTCAGAGTTGCATGGTTAGCGGCAACTTTATTTTAATGGCTGCACCAGTTTCAGTTGAAATCACAAATGAAAAAGAGAAAACATTGTTTTTTAATTACATTTTCCAAGGATCGCTTTCATCCCTCAACATATCTGCCTCATGGATATTTTCGCTTTTGCTTTACATTATTTGAGCTTGAGGAAAACACATTCGCATTCCCTTTCTTTCACTCTATTGCCATCTCTTTCTACACTCGTGAGAGAAAAAGGGGCGGAGCTTCTGAATCTCTCGCGAATGTTAAGTTTTTGAAAAAAAAAAAATTTGCTCGGGCGATGTTGAACATCGAATTAGTTCACTCATACGTGTTTTACATGTCCGTCGAGAGATTCTCATGCAAATAATCGCTGAAGCATTTCGATTAATAGTTTCAATCGGCAGCAGTGAAAAGGTAGAAAATATTCGCGCGCCTTTTTGAGTGATTAAAATAAAGTTCAAAATCAAAAGAAATTTAAGTGACAGAAAATAAAGTGAAGAAATTTTTAGCAATTTGTGAATAAACGAATAAAGTTGAAAAAAAAATACGATTGATAAGAAAACATCATATCTTAATGTGCCTTGATGGTAGATAAACATACTTGGAAAATCGATTTATTAAATCTTTGCAGAGTTAGCGACGAACGTAAGTATTAAATTTATACAAAAATCAACAAATTAATTACAAAATGACAATAAAATGTTAAATCTTCATTGAATATCATTGCCATTGAAATGCAACAAAAGGGCCAACTAGTGGTTTACTTGAAATTAAAAGTGTCACATAATCGAAACAAGTTAAAGTCACTTCTTATACCTGAACAAAGTTACGAGTTTAACTAAACAAGTTTTGGTTATATTTAAGATTATCACATTCAAGGCAAATATTTCAATAATAAACATGTAATTAATGGATGTCTCGAAAACTCAAAACTTATGTTACTCATAAGAATAATTAGGAACGTTTATAAAGTCAAATATTTCCACAATTAAATAACAAACATCTTGACGTTTGAGTATCCATTTTACTGTTTTTCTTCTGTGCTTTTATTTCAAATTGTAATTTTTCCTTCATCTGTTTGTTGTCTTATTCTCATTGACCTTTCTTAAAACAGTAATGCATTGAATGAAAAGAAAGATAAAAGAACTGCAACATTGCAACATGAAGTTTAGTCTTTGTTCGTTTACACCCCGAGGAGATTGATGTTTAAGTTCAATTGATGTCGATTTGTCGAAGATGAATTGATTGGAAAAGCGAGAAACATGTGATTGATTGTTAAACTTTTTCTTGCATTTTGTTGAGAAAAATATTACATTGATTATAATAATAAGGAAGCCATGAAGAAATTCATAAAAATTGCTTTATTCGACTTTCATAAAATCATATGTTTCGACTTCGGAATATTTTGAAAATGATTATTATGCTTTTCACCACAACTCTGACTGAATGCTGCTTTGCACTCCCACGAACTAAATTGCGATGAAAAATAAAACTTTTCATTCTGATCGAGAGCGAGACGCTTTTTTCCATTGCGAACCTATAAATTATCATTAAATATGGATCAAGATTCCATAAAAGTTAAATTTCGTACGTTTTGACCTGTTATCAAAGAGGTTATTTAAAAACTTCAGAAAGATCTTTTAATTCCTACGAAATCCTAAGAAACGAAGTTGGAGCAAAGTGTTTAATTATTAATCATCATCATTTTTGTTTTTTGCTTTCAAGAGAAATGGAATCAACTCCATCCCAAAAGACAAACCCATAAAGGGCATCAAACGCCAGCCAGTTTCTTAGAGTCAATGAAGACTTTCAGAGATTCCTTTTGAATCATAATGTTGCAACAAATTTATTATTATTTACTCGTAGCTTACTAATCGCATTAACTAACCGACAAGTTTATGAAATATTTATGTTCTCAGTGTTTGATCTTCATTTCTTTCTCTATGGAAGTTTCTTCTCCCCCGTTTTCTGATGTTTTTGTCTTTTCAACCCGTTAATTATAGGTGATAAAGGAATCCCAGAAATACAAAAACAACAAACAAAAAAAAACATTAGGAGCGATTATAAAGAAACTCCGGTGAAGAATTCTTAAGACAACGCACGAGAGGTAAAAGTAAGAACAAAAAAACAGAACAAAAAGAGTTAAAAGAAGCTGAAAAAGGAATTCTGATGATAAAAGAGATCTTTGGAGGTTCGGTTTTGTCTTTTGGTCGACAAGAAAAATTACTATGATACCTAAACGTTCATGTTCATTGTGAACTTCTATTGAAAGCTTCAAAGAATTTTAAAATTGACGAAACGACATTTCTTTGATTTGATGTTAAAGTTAAAAATCATCAGACAAATAGCGAAAATTTTACTTCCACAATCATCATGTGTAGTTATAAGTTTCAACAACAGTTTTTAAGCTTTAATGAGACAACAATGACGATCATTCCTAGACTCAACATTAATATGAATTCTTTTCTTACTTGACTCATTTTCTCTGTCCATTCCCGACTCAATAACAACAACAAATTAACGTTTTTATTTTTTCTCTGTTGAGATTTGTTGGAGACTTAAAATTTTCAACTATAAAAATGAAGAGAAGGGAAGATTTTCGGCACGCAAGCATTAAACTCGTGCTGGCTCTGGGGCCATTTAAATAATAATAGAAACGAAGCGCTTCATTTGCTTCTTCTCGCGTTTGTGCATTTCGAGAAAATCTCTTTCTCGCATGATTAGCGTCGTAAAAGCGGGTCGCATTAGCTATTGAGAGTCTCTTTTGTGTCTCTTTCTTCTGTGATTATGTGGCATCATGATGATGATTATGGATGTGGGGCCTTCGAAGCGACCCGACAATTTAATTAGACAAGTGAAACATTGTTTTTTAATTTCGAGATTTCGGGAAAGAAATTACTTTTTTCTCTTTTTTTTGTTATGTTGGGATTGAAAGTTTTGATTGTTCGGATCATTATTGCTGTAATTTTGATATAAAAAATCTTCGAGCTTTATAATGTAATTTTATTTAATTTAGTATGCAACAATTTAAAGCCCAAATTTCTTGGGATATTTGATATGTTTAGTGGTGTCTTCAAAATTAAGTTAAGATGCATTCGTTGGTCATGAGAATCAAAACGCAATCGATGATCTCCCGATGGTGTTTAAGTCACGCGTCTTCGTGTTATTGCGTGATTAATTGCTGAAGATTTTGTTCCGCTTCAAAGTGTACAATTCAACATAAAAATCCCGACATATTTTCATATCCTGGGGTTTATGTCATTGTTTTTATCCCTTCTAGCATTTCTATTACGCAATTATTCATAATGCAATCCCTCACATCTGAATATATTTGTCACTTGATGTAAATGAAGTACATCATTAAATTGAAATGAATGTGGACGATACAATTGGGAGTTCCTTACAACTTTGAGTCACTGAGTATTGAAAATATTACAAAACGAAGCAGAATTGAATTAAATTTGTAAAATTATAGTGTAACTGACGCCCGCAAATTGTTGGTTTAACATGCTTGAGGTAAATAATCATAATTTAACTATTTATCGTCAATATGCCGAAGAAAAACTGTTGTGCACATTTAGCACTTCACACTTTTTGCATGCCTCGAAGCAATTAGAAAAAATACATTCGTTGTTCATCGTTATCGTTATAAATGTAAGACGGCGAGCTCTTTATACTCTGCAGTTTATCAATCAGTAATGCGGTTTCAATTCCGTTATCAGTTAAAAGGTTTAATTTTAAATCTATTCAAATTTATGACGAGTTGAACTTACTAAAATGCAAAAAGTTTAGTTCCAAAGAGTGAATCGATTATGAATGGATAAAGAGCGGCGGTAAGCACTATCACCAGGACGTCTGACACGCGCATGAGTGCATGTATGTACCTCAACCATTCATGAGCCATTCATTTCTCGCGCTGTTTCCTTTTATTTTCAGCATGACGCCAAATAAAAAATTCTTGAAATGCACGATCACTTTTAATATTAAAGAAAGAACTGTTTAATGCTTTTCGATGTTAACAACTTAATTTACAAATATTTATGGGGATCTGATTATGAAATAAATTTAAAATGCTATCATGACCGGTAATGCACAAATCGAGTTTACGACTACCTGACCTCAAACCGAACCGACCTGTTTTCATTAAAACTCATTGAACTGTTATGTCTTCTCCCTTGACAGCTCAAGTTTATTGAACATAATCTCATCACTTGTCAAATTATTATTCGTCGAAAAGACTCTCGTCCAAATATTCACTCTATTTGCACATCACAACTTCATCAATAAACATTTCACGGATGGGATTTTCATGGTCGTTTATCCCTTGTAAATCCTATTTTTAAGCCTCTGAACAAGATTGCCGATCGCTTAATTTAATCATCTTCACGTCTTCACGTCGGCCCTCAAAATTGGATTAACCGATGGTTCATTAAGTAATTCTCAACTCGTATGATCCGAGACTTAGAAAAACTCAACAACTTCCTTTCAACTATTAATTGAATCTTAAGAATAAACTGTAACAAAATAGAATGAAAAAACTTCATGAGATTAATTCAGTTAAACTATCGATTGTTGATGTTGCAAGTATGTGAATCAAACCTTTCCTTTTTGTAAATAATCTCAACCCTCAAAAAAATTTGTTTATTCAGTTTTTCTCTTATTTTTTTTTTTTCATTGACGACGATAAAAATATCCCGCAAAATTGGATTAGTGTCGGGGGAGACGGGCAAAGAATGATGAAGGGAAAGATTTCTTTCCTTATCCCTTAAAGCTTCATGAATTTTTATCGAAAGTGAAATGTTTATTCTCGTGATTTCGTTCTCGCTCAATTAAAAAGCGACTCCATTCTGAACTCTTTACAATATTTATCACAAATGATTTCCAAGAAATTTCTTCCACCTGAAGTTATTCGCTTAATTTGATGCTTTCAATATTTTTTTTTGCACTCAACTCATGTACAAGCTGCATAAGAAATAAAAACCCGATCACGACTTTTCAATAAAGACGAATACAAACCAAAGATTAAAGCAAAAATGAAAAACTCGGAATAAGCCAATGAAAATGCACGGTTGAAGCCGTCTCTTTACAAATAATTACGATTCTTGAGTACATCACGAAGTAGAAACAAATGCCCGGTAAACATCAACTTACATTGCTTGCTCACCAATCAGTGAAGCCGAGAGTTTGTTTAATTAAACATTGTGAGTTATTATCAATGCAGTTGAGAGAGAAAACAAAAAGCATAAAAGAAATTTTAATATTGTGTAAATCACGATGTCTTTGAATTTCCGTTGAAAAGTAAAACAGCAAACAGTAAAAGCAAAATTGTATGATGTATAAAACCTAATCACAGAACATGTTTTAGTTTGATTGCACAGTATATGAAAACAAGTAAATGCGGACGGGATGAAATAAAGTGCAAGCTGCTATGCTATGGATAACGATACAAAATTCAAACCACCCTCGCGGGCATTTCATGAATTTATGTTTTCTTTATGCCAATGTTCCTTCCACTACGATTTTTCAAAGTGAGCGAGTTTAGTGTAGATGCCCATCGGTGCTATAAATGCATATATGCACTGCACACAGTATTCTTGTCTTTCTTTGGCAATTGCCAGCCCTCAAAATGAAAAAGAAAGAAGGAAAAAAACGTGCGCACAATGCTCTTGCATCATGTGCTGAATTCTACTGCTTAGTCTTAAGAATTTAAAACTCAAAGAGTCTAAAAAGCACCTCAGGGAAGTCCGAAGATATGCACAGACAATGTGCCACATGCATAAGTATGCATGTAAAAAGAAACATCACCATAATTATGATGCCCATTGCGTCCTCCTTTCTCGTATCATCTCTCGGATATTTTTCTTTTGAGACATTGCTGTGAGCTATTGCGCGATCTTTTCTCGTTTCCTTAGCAACACCCTGGAAATCAAAATGCAACATACACGAGAAGGAGGGTTTTCAAAATATATTTTGGCGATGATGATAATGATTATTAAATATGATGCTTTTTGGAGTAAACGATGATAAATAAGCAGTCAAGTGCAAATCGAAGTCTGAACGAGAAATTAAAAATCAACTGCACATATTTATTCCCTTCTAATCAACTTGTCATTTCTCTTATCTCACAACAATCATCAAGTCATTGAGGGTTGAACAAACTTCTTGATCAAAAGATAGTCAAACACAATTAGGCGTTTAAATAGGCATGACTAATTTTTTGTTTAAACTTTAAAACGAAATGGTTTTATTTGTGATGATATGAAGAATTGAGAAGTATGCTTGCATATCACATGGTTAAACACGAGCAGAATAATGGGATTTGCATGTTTTATGTGCTATGCAAAATACTTTTGTTATCTTGGGTGGTTGAATTGTGGAATAATTTTAATACCCTCTGTTTATAGCACACTTTACCACTGCGGGAATTAATTAGACCATAAACACGTTCCAGTTCTTAATTAAGTCTGCTTCTTTGTTTTTAAACTTCTCTTTCAAGGATATTTAGATAAATGAGAAGCTGGTAAAAGTGTTTTAATCTTCGAAACATCCACGCGATAAAAATCAATACTTTGGTGAATAATTTCATTTCAGTTTGGCAAGAACGAAAGTTAAACGAGTGGAAAAGTAATCAACACTCAAAGATGCAGTCACGTGTGTGAAGAAAAGTAATGAAAACACGGATTCAATTTTCATTTTCTGTCATTTCAAGTGCATTATCTGGTCGTCTTTCAAGAGTTTAATTGCGAAATCATCCGAACATTCAATCGCCCCATTTATTGACAGAAGACTGAAGACACACTCAATTTAATTTACTAGACATTTCACTAACCGCCTTTTGAAGATGAGTCAAGCATCGTGCACTTGACGTTTGATCTGTTTATCTTTTTCTTTAAGCTGGGATTTTGTCATCGACTTGATGATACTATAAATAATGAAAATTTAAATCAATCTAATGGAGATGAAAGAAGTTTAACATGTGCTTTCATTTGAACACAAATTTTCCATTTAATTTTCAATTTTTTCTCTTCGTCTTTAAACTTTCAATTTTTTATTTACCTACTTAATTTTCTATTTTCCATATCATGTAATTTAGAATTATGTTTACTCTAATCGCTTTTGGGTTTTAAAACGACGAGGGTGTGGAAGGGTAAAGAGGTTCATTTCTCGAGATATTAAAGAGTACTCGACTCAAAAAGTTATTACAGACGATAGAGATTAATGACGAGGGTTGTAAAATTTGTTAAAAGGCTTTTAAAGAGTTTATTTACGTAGTTATGTGTCGCTAACAATATCGAGGATCAATCTTCAAAGAATATTTTATTGTTACTAATTTTAAATATTTTTTTTAAAAAGAAACAATTTTTGATTAAAAATGAAATTGTTTGATCGAAGGTTGATGGAATTAAATCACTCATTCACATGATTCGTTTAACATTTTACTATCGTAATCGTTGATACTGAAAATTCTCATAAATAACTCAAACTTAATTGAGTCCAATCACGATTAGGATCAGGAGTAAGAAAAAGGCAAACTGGAGTATATTTTACAATTTGACAGATTAATTATAATGAGAAAGAAATCTATAAATCTATTTCGAAAAATTCTCCTGAACTTAAAAGCATTCCTGGCTTGTCCAATATTGACGAAAAACTGCAAAAAAGCGTGATCGAAACATAAATTAATGGAATTTTTGCGATATTCCCTAACAACGACGTGGAATTTTTGATTGATTGGCAATTTTTGCAATTTAATCAAAGTAAAAAAAAAAATTACGTGGCATAGTTTATAATTTAACAAGTTTTAAACGAAATAAAGCATAGTTAAAAAAGTGTTTCAAAGAATTTCGGTGCATTTAAATTTATTAGCACAAATGCAATTCAAGATGATCATCACAAAATTTTGATATCAAAGTCAATAAACTTTTCTCTGAATCTTTCAACTCAAACTAGAAGGATTTAGATAATATTTCTTGCTCATTAAATCTTCGTTTTGAAATTTAGTAAGGAATCAAACCACTCACGATATCGCTTGAAGGCAGCACAAATCCCCAGAAAATCAGCAGAAAAATTGCAACTTCGCAAATTCTTTTTTTTTCTTTCTTCAGTCTCGATGAAAATATTTTTACGAGTTTCGTGGGAGTTTTTTGATGTTTTTTCTTTGAGATTCGTGATGCGTTTTATATTCTTTTTTTTGTTTGAAATTTTTACGCTAATAACACTTTGTGCTAGAACCTTTTACTTTGAAGTTTAACAACACATTCGAATTTGACCCAAAGATTGCATGCGAAAGAAATCGCTCGTGAATCTCTTTTGAGTGCAGAAAATAATCAGAACAAAACGATCGTATGATTGATGCTTCGTGGTTTTGCTTTTCTTCTTAGTTTTGCTATAATTTTTGCGAGGAAAGACGATAAGAACGAGAAAACGCGTGGGAGAATGTCTTGCTGCAACTGAAAAGATTCCTTCGCTTCAAGGCTTTTCGTTAATTTTTAAATTGTCAAATTCATGAACTGTTGAATATTCTCTTAAGTAGATAACAGTCACAAAACATTTCTTAAAGCAAAACATATTTCTTCATTTTCCAATTCGATTACATCGCAAGCTGCAAAATTTTTCTTCATGCTTTTACCTTCAAATTTCAAGCCAATCAAAAATCGAGTTTCTTCATAATTTTCTGCAGTATTTTGTGCAACGAATTAAAAGAATAAAAATGAGGGAGATATGCACTGTTTATCCCTTGAAGCTCAATAAGCACTTTAAGAGGAATTTTTTAACAACAAAACAACAAAAAGTGTATCGACAGAATATGAAGAGAAGAGATAAAATAATTAATCAGATATTATGTGCTGGTACATTTACTTCGCTGTTTCAACATAATATTTTTTTTTCTGCAATGCTTAAAGAAGCAAGAAAAGTAGAAATATTGGGGGATAAGAAGCGAGCCCCGAGCGCAATGTTTTGTACGAAAAACGATGAAGTTCCATTGATACATACATACATGATGAACCACATAAAGAACTTCTCTTCATTCTTACTTAAGTCGATTTTCTTTCATAATAAATATTTTCTCTTCTAAGTTGAAGACATGAAGGAGAAAAAAAAGGGAGAAACGAGGCATTAAAAGATGCCCCAAAGGGCATGGAACGGCTCGGGCGGCTTTACGGAACAGTAGATGTAAGCGAGTATGCGTTCTTCTTGATACAAGCATTAAACATTATCATAAATTCTTTGACTCGGGTAATGTCTTCGAGGTGAAACGATGCTGAAATGTAATGGAACTGCCCATTATCTTCTTTAAATATAATTTTTTAGGGAATCATCTTCGCGTTTTAAAAGGAGCTGAAAATTTTTTGAATAAAAATTTTCACTTCAATCGTGACTATAAAATTGCACGATTCTCTTCAATCATAAACCTTTAAATTATTAACGTTCTGAGTGAGTTACTTATATACATATTGACAAACCTTTCTTTCAACCCCCAAAGAAGAAATGAAATTTCTTGAGTCGGAAAATTACCAAGTTGAGTAATTTGAAGAGAAACAACTGAGTTTATGCTTTTGTTATCAAATTAACCTTCCCTTTTGTTATCATTTACGACTCAACGGTATCTTGAATATAACCCTCGAATAACAAGACCATGGAAAAGATCACAAAATCTAATTAAAATTTTCTTGGATACTTTTTTAATGCTAAGGCTTTCTGAGATGAGAAATGGAAATTTATATCTTCAACACAATGGTGGATAGAAAAAACAAAAACATTCGTTTCTGTCTTCATTTCATTTTACTTTTACTGAGTGCTGCTGAGTTTCTTCTGTCTCCCCTAACAGCAACCTAAGGAAAGAAAAGTTTTTTTTTAATTTTTTGAAGCGAGGGAGTGCAAACATCCAACAAAGAGACGACGATGAAAATATTTTCCTCTTCTTGTCGTTAAATTTTATGAGATCTTAAAAGATATGCTGAGGAAGCAGAAGGAAATGAAGAAAATGGCTTTTCTCAACTTTTTATTTCTTAACTTTTTCATCAAAAGTTTCTCTTTTCTTGCTCCTTTTTTATGAGATGATTTCAAGATGGATTTTGCAACTAAAAAAATTTAATCTTATTAAATAATTCGATCATAAAACTTTACAATCCTCATAACATTGAAGGATTAAATCATTAAATGATGATGAAATCTTTGAAGAAACTCTTTAAATTTTATCGAAGGAAACTTTATATTTTAATCAAACTCAAACCCTGAAACAATATTTTCATTTTCATGCGAAAAGTTTTCAGTTTTTCCTTATGAAAAAGGGTGGAAAAACGAGCTCTTAAGGCATTGCCTCGGTTAACGAATCTCGACAAGCCCCGAAGTTCCCTTAAATATTTTCTACTTTCTGTCAAGCATACGACACCGCACAGACAAGAGAACAAAATTGTCGTCTTCTGATTGGTTTGACTCTCTTTTGCCTTGAGCTGCGCCTTCGACTTTGCTGTTGTTGTTATCGCTTGCCCTGAACATTTTCACTGCACGATTCTCCGCAGTAATGTAAAAATTCTGTGCAATGCTCCGGAGGCGGTACGAAGACGAGAGAGAATAAAATTCTTTACAATTCGAGCAAGATTTTGACAGAACACGCAGCTTCAGAGCATAAAAATTTTATCTTCTTATCATCCCTCTCCTTGTTTCCCAGTTCTCCCCCTCCCCGTTTTTCACTGCTTCTTATTGCCTTCTTGCGATACTGTTACACAAACTATATGCTATTTTCATGCTGTGTATGCTGCTTTGGTTCCACATTACATGCTAAAGAGGATTCGATCTCTCTTTCTCTTACTTGTGTATGTTTGTGTCTCTTTTCAAGAGTTTTCAGGCGTTGATAATTTTCATTTTCTCTTTTATACTCGATGGCACAGAAAAACATCTTTTTTTAAATTTCGGGGCAAACAGTTGAGTTTCAAAAAGATTGGTGCATAGCCCGGAAGCTCATTGCCCCGATCTGTCGAATCAACATCTTTGGATTTTGAAGTCATTTTTAATTAAATTGTGGAATTGTTTTCAATGTTTTTTCGTGGAAATTTTGAGAATAAAAATAAATAAACTCAAAGAGTTGAACGGAAATTATTGTTGTGAGATGAAAAATTTAATTAAATAATCAAGAAAGTGTTTTTGGAACTTTAAGAAAAGCAAATATTTTGTGTCTAAAATAATAATTTAAACCAATTTAAGTGTTCAATTGTTAACTTCTTTGATGTGTCTAAACATAACTTCAGTTATTAGAAATTAAAAAGTTTAAGTAAGTGCTATGAAATATGAATAATTAGCAGCCTCCATTTTTGTTCAACATCATTCTTAATAAAATTCTCTAAATCTTGTGTTACATAAAAAATTGTGATGAAAAATATTCGAAAAATTCGCTGAAATTGGCAAGAAAAAATGTTAATAACTCTCTTGAAAGAATTCAACTTCTTAACATAAAACATAGAAGGAAGAAAAAAATTCTAACGCAAATGCAAGCATAAAAAATTAAAGAAGTGATCGAGAAGCAGAGGAAAAATTTGCTTAAAAATTCTTACGCAAATATCTTATAATTATTAAATTCCTCTTGTACGTTGCGTCGTTGAACACGCGACGGTAAAATTCTTTGAAACCAAAAATATTTTTAAAGTAAAATGCATGAAGTTAAGTTTATAATTTAAGTGACAAAGGAAATTAAGAATCAAAAGTTTTATTTATTGTTCTGATGGTTCTTGGTTAAATAACAATTCTAAGATTGTTGAAAATCTCAAAATAATTCGTCAATTAGGATATTCTTGATCTCTAATGTTTTGTTTAGAAATAATTCAACGCTTCTTGGACTCTTAAATTAAACTTCTTTTGTCATTATTCATTTCATTTTTTTGATGCCTTTGTCTTGACTTGATCTAATTTTCCTAAACCCCTTTTGATCCCAAACAATCATTATCGCTTCATTTCTTTCACGATTATCTTTCTAAATTACCTTTTAAGCCTCTTCTTTTCGTCTTTTTTTTCTTAACTGAGTCTGAAAAGCGCTGTGAGTTAAAAGCGAGTCAGGTATCAGGTCAAAAGTTAACAATATTTAAACTCGCTGTGTTTATGTCTTTTATGCCTCTTAAGTTATTGATTTTTATTATTTCTTTTCCTTGCTTTACTTTTGTTCGCTGTTTCCTTTTGCTGTTTAAATTTGTAGAACATTTCATTATTTACTCGCTTCTCTGCTTTCAATTCTACTCACAAGATTTCAAAATTTCCTTAATGATGATTTCTGTGTTGGCGAGAGAGCGATTTTTTATTACAAAGCATACGATTGAGCTTTTATTATCGTTCTTTAATTTTTAAGACACAAGAAAGAAAGGCAGAAGAAGACACTCGCTTTCGACGTCCATAAAAGAACGACGACTAAGCGAAAACATTCAAAGAAATTAATTTTTTACATGTGAAGGAAATTGCAGAAACATTGCAAAGAGAGCATGACATGAAAAGGAATGCGTTCCACGAGCCAAAGAAAGAATGGGAAATGATGATTTAAATAAAGCCTTTTGGATGACCAGATGATTATATTAGCATTTTTATTTATTATCAAGCTGCTTTTCTGTCTAGCAAACACTGCTTACCCTAGAACGCCAATTTCCATCTTTCAACTAACACACTTTTCGGCGGATTTAATTTTAATTATCTTTTTTACGGTTTCTCTTGCGCGCTTCGCTGTTTTCTGGTGATTCCATTTCCTTTTCAAGGGCTTACCAAATGCAATTCCCTTCATCGATGAATGTTGTGATCACTTCGCTTCATAACTTTAGAGTTCAGTAAAATGAATGAGTTAATAAAACTAATTTAAATATGCAGATTTTATTGCGAAAGATGAGGTCGAAAAAGGATTGTAAAGACTAAAGACGAAGGCATTGCGTAAAATGAATGAGTTTTACGGCACAGACGAATTAACGAATGATTCTCATTAAAATTAAAAGGAAGTTAAGGTCAAATACCTGAAGCAAAATCATATAAACTCCGGGTCATGAGTGGTTTCTAAAAACTGAACATAGACAAATGATTGATGACGTTCTCGTCTTAATTTCATCAAACGTATCACAGTAGCGAAAGCTTTGCTTCAAAATTTTTTTGATTTGATCTGCGCCTGCAGCCACACTCGAACAATTTTCATTTTGCTACTGAATTCCTCAGGAGCCTTATGATAACAATTATTTCTCATTTTTCTCAACCATCAAGACTCGAAAAGAGTAAAATCAAATCCAAATCGAATGGAAAGAGCGAAAGAAACTATAATTAATAATAATTGAAAATTGCCCACAATTCGTCCTGAGGTTGGAACGTGATGCTTCGATGTTCACAAATTGCACAGCATAAACAATCTAGTTTTCAACATAAAGATTAATGGAATAAAAAGATATCAAAGAAAAGAATAAATATAAATAATCAAAGACAATCAAAAGCGTTGAACGTCATCAGTGAATCACATTGATCAACAATTAATTTAACAATTTTGTTATTTTTTATTTTCAGATTTAAGCAGCTTCTGGTAGCAAAATATCTCAGAAAAATGGAAACCTCGAATTAGTGATACATAAAAACAAAAACAAAAGTGTTAAGAAATCGAGTAAAATATTTGAGAAGATCCTCCGTGATTAAATCGAAATTTCGCAAAAAAAAACAAAAGAAACAAAAGGCTTCAATTAAAATATCATTAAGAACATAAAAAGAAATGACTTTCCGTTGTGTCATAAATTCATACGATAAAAATCCCTTCAACGATAGCAGCGCTCAATGGGTAAGTGAAGTGTCAAGTAGATTAATTACATTTATCCCCAAGAGATGTCACTACAATGTCATTGAGAATTGAAAATATTTATGTTTAAATTATAACTGGAGATATCATACATGAAACATGAAAGAGAAAACAAAATAGCAAACAAATATCTTGTTTAACATGTAGCAGTCTAATCATTAGCCTCGTCGTCGTCACACGCGTTAAGGACAAGAAATTAACGTCAGTAGTAATTTTTAAAGTATTATTCACAGTTCAGTTTACTTTAAATGTGAATGAAAATTATAAATATTTTACAACATTAAATTTGTGGAATATTTTGATAAAGTGGAAATATTATTTGTGTCCTCCACATGTTTGATATTCTTAAAATTTAAATTCATGATAAATATTAATAATAATAATATTTTAATACAATCAAGAATAATTCTTGAAAGATCAAACTTTTTGTTCATAAAAGTTGTCGACAGGAAAGTTGAAAAAGTTCCTGTTAGGCATTAATAAAATTGAAAGTTGATAAACGTGCAAATTAAATCTTATGCCTGACCACCAAAAAACATTTTTTTGAGTAACATTAAGACAACAGAAGGGAGATGAAGAAGCTTATTCAATGAAATTATTTACTCTCAGTTATTCCAAGACACAAAAGCAATTTGCATAATTTTTCTCACAACAAATTCTTTAGCATCACTGAGGATATCTCTCGATTTCTAAAGAAAAATTATGTCGCACAAATTAAAAACTGCAAAGCGAGCATAAAAATGAAAGAGAAACATTGAAAGATTTGAGTTAGTGCAGAAAGACTAAAAGGGAAGAGATGGAATGCAGATAATTGCAATCCTTTGGCATCTGAAAATGCTAAAGAAAAAAAACAAAATCTCGTAAAAAATTGGTAGAAACAAAAACCGGCAGTCAAAGATTGACTCATAAAAATGAAATTGATTAATGATTTGAAATCTGCGAGAAGGAATAAAAAAAAAGTTGAAACTATAGTGAAAATCGTTACTTGTTATTCAATTAACTCTTAATGAACGATAACATTTCAGCTCTAAACCAGTGACACTTCAGAAGCTCAAAGCTTAGCATTTCTTAGATTTATTACTTAAATAAAGCCGTCGGCCATTGAACTTTTGATCATCTCATTTCATAATCGAGTCTCATTCATCAGCCTCGCAAAATATACGACCGGGAATCGCCAAAAAGAAAAGAATTGAAAAGGTTTAGAATGTGGCACAGGTTGAAGAGTGTTTTCTATCATTTCATTATTGCTTATCATCATCATCATTCACCTTTCTCCGACTCACGAGTCGCAAGTATTCAATCGCTAGCCCCAAATTTACATTGTGTTTGACATCATGTAGACGGCTGACGATCAAAATTTCTTCTCAATTTCTCATTCTTAATGGTCGAAAGCGATAATGAAAACATATAAAGAAGCGACGATTGAGAAGCCAACACAAAGCGCGCAGACCTGAAGCTATGATATAGTACGTGCAATAAATCTACCGAATTCAATCTTCAATGATGTAAATCATTCCTAGTATTATTAAAAGAAATTAAAGCGAAATGTATGTTCAACTTCTTTTTGGACATCATTGCTTAACTTTCCAAACATATATAAAAATGAATAATTATCATAGATTGACGAGAAAAATTGAACTGAAGAAAAGAAGTTTTAACAAACAAGTTTATGAATGAAGTGAAGCAAATAGAATAGAGAAATAGCGAGAGTCTGATGAAATTTCTTTGATTACGTTTCAGATTATGTTACACAAAGTATAAGACCTTCCATATGATTAAGTCAACTAGTAATACAAGTTACTGTTGAGAGATATCGCAATTATTTCCTTTGATAACAGTGGAATCATATTTGGCGACAATCTTTGAGAAATTTTTACATGAACAATTTCAAGAAATTCCGTTAAGATTGATAAATGCTTAAAATATGTTTAAACAATCTTATAATAGTTATAGCTTCTTTGAACTAAAATTGTAATCTCAGAAAACATTCAACCCTTCTACAAAGTAATCTGAAATTTTCCATTTTCTATTTTTGATGCTTGAAAATATTTTGCAACGGATATTGGATCAAATTGGCTTATGATTTCCTTTTTCTTCCCCGTTGTTTATCATCTGCAATTTTGTGAATGAGTAGTTTGAATACTTATGTGTATGACTACAGAAACTGTGCGTTTAGTGATGTTTCATGCAACCCCTCCAGTATTTTTACAACTTACAATGATTTTATAAGTTGTGAAATTTTTAAATGGCGCTTTAGGGCATTAACGAGATTTTTATGTTTTATATACTTACACGGCAATGTCGGAACTTGACGTCACCACAAATAATTAAATTTCATTCTGAAATAATTTGCCATCATGAAGGATTTGTCACAAAACTGTTGATTTATTCCTTTTTGCTAAATTCTAATATAAGAATTTCGCCTGAAGGTTTAAAAATGGAAGTTTCCTTTCCATGTTGATGAACAAATTTAAGAAGAATAAAAAAAAATTATAAACTGTACAACATGTCAATTGAACTTCCCTCAAAACTTATTCAACAAATTTCACTAAAAAGAAGTAAATTCAAGGTGAAGAATTTTATGTGAAAATGTTTGCGAGATTAAACATGAAAGCAAGTCAATGGAATGAGATGAAAAGGGTTTTGAATGATGACTCTTTCCCTAAACGGAAATTCCATTGTCTGGCACTATCGCTTCCTTCATTTTCCTCTATGCTCTCCAAACTTGCAGAATTTTCTCAAAAGAATTTTCCTCGTGCTTTTATTTCTGTTCCTTTTCACGAAGGAATTTTCTTTTGAAATGATTTCGAATAATCTCAGAAAAGATCTTAATGTTAAGTCGATTAGCGGTTTTTGCTGTCGGTTAAAGACCATTTAGATAAGAAAGATTTTATTGGTGAAAAGTTATGTGTAAAAATGCTGTGACGAAGACGAAAACCTTTTAAATTATCTGCACGTGATTTTAATTTCATGACAGAAGCAACAGCACGTGATACTCTTTACAGAAATAATTTGAAAATATATTGAAACAAAATCAAAGAAAAAAGAGTTGTTTAATCTCGAATCCCAATGATGCAAGTCTAAGTAGAAGCAACTAAGATGACGCGTAATTTACAGCACACACGAACAGTTTATATTTCAATTTAGGCTTCCTCACAATTGCTTCTCCCCATCGGTTTCTTTTTGTTACCAAAAATATTTTCTAATAATGTGTATCATGTTTGTAACATAATAAACATAAAAATCCATTCAGTGATTGAGCGAATTGCGCGGTAAAACGAACACAAAAAAAATTAATCGACAAGAAGAAAAAAAAGAAATTAACAAACACGGCGAAGCAGGCGAGCTGAGATTAACGGGAATGTTGGAATGGAATTGAAATTCTTCGTTTTTTCATTCTTCGCAACAAAGCGACATGAATGAATGAAATGTTAATTGCGAATTTTTTTTTATTTTGGAAGCTAATCTTAAAAAAACAGAAATTAAAAAAAATTGATTAGAAAATCTTCTTTAATCGTTATCGTCAAACATGGCTTTGACTTATGTTGATATGTCGTCAGTGATTGAGGTTCAGGTAACTCAATAACATCTCAATTATGATTAACAACATTACAAGAAATTTCATCGTAAATTCATCAGTGAGGTTTCAAAAAGTTTTCTCTTTCTAAGGAACGTCTGACAAGTCATGGAGGGGGAATCGGTTTGTCGAGTGGAAGTCCAGCTTATACTGGTCATTCAACAAGTAGCGGTGGACGGTCGAGTGGCTTAACATCAAGCCAACACGGACACGGTCCAAGCATGCATCAACCTGCTGATTTTCAACCGCCATATTTTCCACCACCGTTTCATCATCCATCAACACATCAAAGTCCACCCCAACAGCAGCAACAAGTAAGAAATTTTCATAACTTTTATGATGATTAAATTACATTTTGTGGTTATTCTGTTTAGAATCATCATGGTCTTGACTATTTAAGTCCAGCAACTGATCCCTATGGACAAACTCCACTTACATCAGGTCTTCATCATCACACATCTTCCCTTCATCATCACTATAATCAATTAGCCGGTCTTAGTCGACCTTCACAAGAACAGTTGGGTTTATCAAGTCGATCTCATCGCGATTCTGTTGATTTAGTTCAAGGATGTCATGTTGTAAGTTAAATCGATTTAGACAAATTTTCTTTCGCTTAGAATTTAATAATAAAAAACTTGGAATGCAAATCGAAAAGGAAGTTAATAGAAATTCCAATCTTGTTATAAGAAAATTGAGTCTTCGATGTTGGTTAGGGAAATGGAAAACATTTCGCGTTGGTCAAGAAAACATTTTTTATTCCATCCGGAATTTTCATCGCTTTGAAGGAAGTTTCATCATGAAAATTGTTTTCCTTCTACAACAAATAAACCTTAAAACATTTTCAAAAAATATTTCTGTGTATTTAGATTTAAGAACAAAGTTTGTTGAGAGTATCTTGAAAGAACATCGAAAACATTCTTTGAATTCCTTTTAACTTCTAAATGATGTTAAATTTGTGTTGTTTTCTCGATTTATTTTCAGACTCAACTTTCACATGGTTTTCCTATGGCATATACGGATAGACGTGGGAGTGATTATGGAACTTCGTTGAGTGGATCTGGTTCAGTTGGTAGATTAGGTGGGCCTGGTAGTGGACATGACCACGATCCATTGTCACTTCATCAAGCACTACAAAATGCTGTCGATGATCAAGAACAAAATCAAGTCTGCGATGAAGCTGCTACAACGTTCATGACTGATTTGCCTTTGCTCAAAAGTAAGTGAAATATTTTCTTAGATAAATTCCAGGTGACAACAAAAGGTTGCAATATGAGATTTCTTGAAGAAAATAAAAAACTGGGAGTTGCAGTTGATGAGATTATTAGCTTGGTTCACAGAGTGTGTAAAATGAAACCACATCTCGTATTGCATTTCTTTGTTTGGATATTTATGTTGTTCTGGGATGTAACTTTCTTATTTCGATTGCCATCGGTTTTAAGGATCTTTGAAAGTGTTGATGATATTTAAAAACATTTTTCATTTCAGATTCTCCTCCATTTTTCCCCGATATCAAAAAAGACCAAAGTGGCCTCAATATTGTAGGTTCGCCGGGTGACGTATTTTGTTCGGTGCCAGGTCGATTGAGTTTGTTGTCAAGCACCAGCAAGTACAAGGTGGTAACTTGAAGCAATCAATTTTCATAATTTCGTCTTGACATTTCAATATTTTCAGGTGACTGTAGCTGAAGTGCAGAGACGCTTGTCACCGCCGGAATGTTTAAATGCATCACTTCTGGGAGGTGTCTTGAGAAGAGCTAAGAGTAAAAATGGTGGTCGACTATTACGTGAGAAATTGGAAAAAATTGGACTTAATTTACCGGCGGGTAGACGAAAGGCAGCAAACGTTACACTTTTAACTTCACTTGTTGAAGGTGAAGCGATTCATCTGGCAAGAGATTTCGGTTATGTTTGTGAAACAGAATTTCCCGCACGACAAGTTGCAGAATATTTAACTCGACCACACACTGACCAACCACATGATTCGTATAAAAGAAAGGAAGTTTTAATGAACACGAAGCAAGTTACAAAGGAACTAATGGATCTCTTAAATCAAGACCGTTCGCCATTGTGCAACACTCGACCACAACATATTCTCGATTCGTCAATTCAAAGACATTTAACTCACTTTTCATTAATCTCTCATGGATTTGGTTCACCAGCAATTGTTGCTGCTCTTACTGCAATTCAGGTAATTAAAAATTTATGAAATATTAACATTTAAATCTCTGACGCATCAAATCGTATTTTTAACATTTAGAATTATCTGAATGAGTCAATAAAACATTTAGACAAGATGTATCCTGGAAATGGTAACATGGTAACCTCATCTCTTGACAACAAATCCAAGCTGTCAGACAGCGATAAAAAATGATAAAAATTAAAATTGGCAAAATTTAATTTGGATTCGTTTTTGTTGTGATCTTAATGTTACGATAACAAAAAAAAATTCTTGATGACTGTTTACATCAATTCCAATTAATATTTGCCAATCGTTTGCTCTTTTTTGTTTGTTTTTGCTTAGAAAAAATGGATCTTTTCGATATAAATAATGACAAAATGTACAAACATAAAAATTCGCTCTAAATAATTTTATGTAAAAAATATCTGAATGAGATTAATAAATTGTAAAATAAGAGAAATTGAGAAAAGATTAAGAAATAAATTAAACAAAACTTAGATTGATGTTTTTGATTTTAATATTTTATTGACAAATTGAGAAGAAAATTTTAATATTCTGCATTCGTTGAAAATTCATAAAAAAATTGTTGAGCTATTTGATATCAGATGGCGTTACATTTGCTTCAAACGTCATTGAAAACGGAACTGAAACGATAAAAAACTGAAATATTTTGAATGTTTCATATTCTGTAATGATTCAGCACAGTTTTTAATTTTCTGTTAAAAAACAAGAATAAATTAATAAAAAGTCCTTACTTGGCGAAATCAACATTCTATTTTAATTAAAGATTTGTATCTTTAAAAATTACTCACTAAATCATATTTATATACACTTAAGAAACCCTAAAACAATTCTAATTTAAATCAAAAGTCAAGTAAGCTCAGTTAACTTTTTTCAATGAGGAATTTTCTTTTTTGTTTCAAGCATAGATATTTATATCTCAATTTCCATTGAAAAATAACATCATCTAAATGGAGCTTCTGTATGAACGAAGAGTAAAACAACATCGTTACCATTTTTATCTTCTAGTTTAATGTTTACAAAGCCTACAACTTAATGATGATGAAAAGTTCGCGATATCAGACGATAACGATAAGAACATGTGTGGCTGAGAGATTATATTCATCGAAATGCCTGCTGTGTGAGGTGGTATTTTCTGTTTTCATTTAGTGACAGTCGGTATAAAAGTAAACAAGTCTCCGAAAATATTTCAGTTGAAATTCCAATTTCGATGTGTTCATGTTGATTCGAGGAAAATTGTTTTGACTCAAAGTGAGTGGTGCATTCGTTAATGAAACTTGGCAATGTCATTTGAGTAAATTGATCCGAATTCATTTATTAAGTGAGCGAATTTAATCATGTTTAGAAAATAAAAGTACAACATGAAGGTCATTGTCATGAGAATTGAGAGTCGATAGTTTGTTGACATAAGTAAAAGTCACAGAGTTGAAATATAATATACAAATATGTTCAACGAAATTCAGCTGGTCGATTGAAATTTGAATTGCAAATATGTTGTTGTAAGTGTAGTTGATATTAATTCAAGCAATCTGAATTTTTCTATTATGGAAAATCATCGTAACTTCTAAATTAACGCACAATATGCACACATATTGAGAGTGTGAAAAGAAAAACAAGTTTAAAGAGCCTCTTTAGATCAGATGACATTTAAAGATGATGATAATAGTGTCAAGAACTAAAGATAGATACACCAGTTATCTTGTTGTACAACTATCAACTGACAGCGACACAAATTTTAATCACGTGTCCTTCTTTCTCAACACATCAGCTCATAAATAAGTAATAATAAAAGTGAGCGATAGTTGTTGAAAGAAAAGAAGTCTTATAAATAATCTTTATGACAATGTAAATATTAAAGATTTCAAACATCATAGGCTTCTTTTTCAGTTCATAATCTGATAACAGAAAATAAGTCAGTCAAGATTAAGCAAGCAATAAAAACCAACTTTCAGCTATTATACGACTTGTGTTGTTTTTATTCTTATCATATTCATTCAAGTAAAAAAAACAAGAAAATGAATTATTCCATTGATTAAATTTGAATTTAATATTGTCAAAATGACGTATGTATGAATTTCCGTTTTTCAATTCTGTCTTATATTTGATAATAAAATTAAATGGTCGAATGACGATGAATTTATTTATCATAAAATATGAGTAAACATTTTGGAAACATAAAATAAAAATCAACTTGTGACTTGATGACTTTTCTCATACGTAAACGAGATTGTCGTCACATTTTATATGATCGATAAGAAAAAAATTAAATGCAGTGCTATAAAGACGGTGAAATGAAAATCACAATTGAAAAGTATTGTCAGCAGATTGAATTTTCAATCGTAAAATTTTTGAGTCAATTTTGATTGAGACTTAACTAAATGGCGTAATTAGCGCAGCACGACGTATGATAAGTGTTCAGTTGATTTGAAGTGTTTTTAATTATCTGTCACAGACACTTTACAACTCTCGATATGGAAAGACCATTAACGCTCAATGTACTTTTGCATGCTATCTCCGTTTGATATCACGAACAAAAACAATAACAGAAACTTGTATTTAGCATTCAACAAATATCTACGTGTTTACATTTCCAAATACAGCTAATCCCATTTCAGAGAGAGAGAGAAGAACTGACTGGGAAAACTGGAAATTTATCCAGTGAAGAAAATTTCTCTTCTTTTCATTGTGAAAATTTCCTCGCAGTGAATATGAACAAAATTTTTCGTCGTGGCAATTTATATTGTGCAATAATAAAGTAATTGTGAAAATTTAGTGAATAAATTATGAAAAGTCTGTAAATTGCACATGAGGGAACAGTTTAGCTTTGAATAAATGTGCATTAAAAGTTCTTAAAGGACTGAAAATCATTTAGAAAATATTAAACTGCTGGAGAGAAAGAAAAGTCCTTGAGATATGGAAAATTTGAGATACAAAATAATTGTTATATAATATATAAATCGATGAATTTATTTCTGAAGAACTTATAAACATTTAATGAATTGTAATAAAAACATCTAGCTAGTAAATTGATTAGGATTATTAGATAAAGTTAATTATATTAGTTTATGAGATCGGGTAGAAGTGGAAGCAAAAACAAAATGGAAAATGATTGCGAAGGTGAACGAATTTTGAATTTTCTTTTTTCCCTCTTTGTGTTGTTGTTTTCCTTTGAAATGTTTTTCCCCCTGCTTTTGTTGATATTTTTTTATTGATTTTTATTTTACTTAGTTCGATTATTCGATAACAATTTTTTGTTTTTGATGTGATTCTTCGAACTTTATTAAAGTTTAAATGACGTATGAAATTTTAAATTGATACACCGGCTCACATTCCAAAACAAAAACTGTTTGCGCTATAAACATTTAATTTGATTCTCGAGTCTGTTTGGCTAGATATGCAAATTTTAAAACGTCTATGAACATTGTTTTTATACTTACATAAACAGATTGAACGGCGCTATGAAAAGAAAGAAATGAAAATAAAATAAAAACAGGGAGTTTGGTCTCATATTTCGTAGATCAAGTCGTGGATTGCACAACGTAATTTTGAGAGAAGGGAAATCCCTCTCACAGAAACCGTCAAGAGCGGATATTTCTTTCGTTCCTTTTAATCATCTCTGAGAAGTCGAAATAAATGCTGAAACATGTGTCGGTATTTTCCAACCATCGATTACTCATTTAGTTTTAGATTTCAGACAAGATCAGACGAAATCTTTTTAGTGTCTGCTGTGACATGAGAACAGTTAGTGAGCTACAGAATTATTTTTAGCGATAGTGTCGAAGCAAAACATAAATGAAAATAAATAATTCTCGTTGCAAAGAGTAAAGAAGAAAAAAATCTTAAAGTGCTTTAAATTGTGCGCTGTTTTACTAGAGTCACGTTGATAAGAAGCCGAAGATTGTGTCGTATAAATTGTTTGTAAGCCGAGAAGTTCAGTTTCATTAGCAGCGCTGGTTATGTCGCTACAACTGGTCAGACAAAAAAAATGAAAAAAATTAGTAACACTACACAAAATCATTTATATTCAAATTAAAAGTAAGCAGTTTGTTAGCGCATATCATCATTTTAATACATCGAAGAAGTGTGGTCGAAATAAAAATTAAATATCAATTTGTTGGCCTGAAATAAAATTCAAAAGTGTGTGTTGTTCAAATGTAGTCTTCTGTTTTTTTTTACCTGAATGAAGTTGTTTTAAAAAGAAGTTTTATATAAAAGCAGAAGGAATAAGAAACTGGAATATAAAAAGTTATCTTGTGACTCTTCGACTGGAAAGAATCATGTGGGGAACGTCATGAACATACACACAATCGTGCGTAATAGAATCGAATATAAATGAATGAGAAACATTTTTTGTATCGATTAGTAGACAATTTAAAATGTTAGACTTGACACATGAAGTTAGAATAATTTCTGTTTAGAAATTGATTAGGTAATTTGCTTATTTTTTAGAGACTTTGACGTTGCTGCTGATTACTCAACTGAACGAAAACGTGCCGGAACGTTGATCTTTTGTATAAAAAGCTTTCTTTGAGTTGTTGAAATTAAAAAGACTTTGAAAAGTTGTGAATAAATTCTTGTGGAAAAAATAAGTTGTGAAAAATAAATAATAAGCTTGAAGTATCTTTTATGAGTTCCACAGACGTATAAAAGCCAGAGTCACTATTCAAATTTACTCAGTAAACTCGTCATAAATCAATTTGACAAACACAAAACAAAAAACGTGTCGGTTCTGGAATACTTAAAAAACATGCCCGCAAATTTTTCATACTTAAATAATTGAATTCATTCGTTTTTCGTCATGTGACTTGGATCGATCACATGTTTAATGTCATTCACCATACTATGCTCTGAACGATAACATAATCTGAAGTGTGCCATTTGAAATACATTTGGTAATTAAAAAATTTATCGGAAAAGTCACAAACAGTAAGTCAACAGAGATTTTCAATAGTCAAACTCGATATTCGAAGAAAACAAGCAATTACTCGATGTTTTGTTTTAAAAACTGACAAGCTTTAATCATTAAAAGATGAAAGATAATTTAGTTAAGATGATTGACATATAAATTGAAAGTGTAATTGTGATTGATTGCTCCTTTGTCATTGTTATCATTTGCTAATAAATTTGTTTTATCTTTTTCTTGTCAAAACGACACAAACTGTTGTGAACAATCCCCGAGCGGCACAAAAGGCGATGTCTCTCACAAATCTGGCATACGAGTATCGTCTCCATTTAATGGGAAGGCTTTCCTTAAGAATCCGCCATGTGAAAGACATTTGGCTAAAAACTACTGGCTATCGCCTAATTCTATCACCTTAAGTTAGTTATGTGTTGGACTAGTGAAGAATTTCTTAAGCTGCCTTATGGTAGCCTTATTTAGAGTTAATGGCATGTGGGGAAGCACCGTAGCGTCAACTGTTAGTGGTAAATTGATACCTCGGTTATTTTCGCTGATTTCTGAAGGAAAAGCCAAAGGAAGTGCCAACTAAAAATCGTCGTAGTGCAAACGTATGCCTCCGGCACGGCGAGTGTGTGCCGCTCGGGATCTTCTTGTAGACAAAACAAACGAAATATTTTCTGAATTTCAAGAGTAAATATTTAGATCAATATTAAAACATCTTTTTTAATAATAACAAATTAAATGACTTTATAAACTTCCAAGATGTTCAGTTCAAACAAATTATTGCAAGTGGAGAACCGAAATTACAGGAAAATCGATTTAAAGTAGAACGTCTGTTTGTACGAAAACTCATCCATGACCATGACATTTTATTTGTTTAAAGCTGAAATGAAAAGATTAAAACACTTCAAGGCACATTGGAAAAGTTGAAGAAGATGAAATTGAATACTGAGAATTTCATCTAATAAAAAATTGAGAGTAGGCATCACGGGAAATTCCTGGAAAATGGAAAAAAATCATTTGAAATCAAATTATAGCGAACAAAGGGAAATTTTTTGACATTTCACTGCGGAGTTTCATGTGAAGTGACAATGAAAGTGATTTTATGGAGAAAAATTTATTTTTGTGATTTTAAAGGTCATTGTGTGATGTTCTCGTAAAATGTTTTTCGTTTTTATGCAGATTGAAGCGAGAAAAACTTGTCAAAAAGTGTAGCAATATTCGAGACTCGAGTGACATAAAAATTCTGTCAATCGAAATTTTAAGTCCTTGAAATAAAAATTATATAATATTTCCTCGTAAAAATGATGGCAAAACATGAATTTGATGCGCTTCACAGATGAAAAATATATTTACGATTATCTCGTTAACTTTTCATTTGACTGAACGTATGAAAAGTTGAAGTTGTTTGTGAAGTTGAAGTCAAGAGAATCAAATGAAAACATCTTTAAGATCATGACTTTCAAGGTGAAGAACTCACGAACTCATGAAAGTTTTTTTCTAATGACTTTATATTCGTTTCAAATTTCAAAGAAACAACTTTATTAAATTAATAGCTTTTATTGATTTTTTACGTTCTTTTATTTGTTCTCATTTTTTGCATGAAAACACACTTAAAAGCAGTAAACTTTTATCGGTAAAAAAAGTCAAGGACAAAGAACACAGTCTCAAAAAATTGAATAATGCTAATTACTTATGATGGATCGTATTGTTCATCATCATGTTCTTCTACATAGTTAAAGTATTACATCACAAGTGGATACTCACATTCTGAAAGATTCAACATGAAGACACACTTTAAGAAAAAAAGATTGTGTAGAATGTTTGATTATCGTTTATATAAAATAATATTAAATCCATCTAATTATTACCACGAAAAATGAGAGCAGGGAAATCCCTCTCAGCCAGAGCGTAAAAAATATTTTTTGTCTGAAAATAATTCTCAGAGAAATATAAATTAATGTTCAGACACATGTGTCGGCATTTTCCAAGCATCGATTAGTCATTTAGTTCAAGAATTTCTGTGTGAAGACGAACATTGTGGTTAATAATTCAAGTTTTTTTAATTAAATAGTAAATTTTCACATTAAAAATTATTCAAACGGTGCCATTGAGAAATATATTTTAAATTAAAAAATATTATACATGGCGCTCGTAAAAAATATTGAGATATTTATGGACTTTGTTCAGTGAAAAATGTTTTGAATTCTTTTGCATTGTAAAACATTTAAAGTTGTACTTATTTTTATAAATAATACATTGAAGTGTGGAAATTAAATGTGGAACTTTAAATATTTTCAATAAAACGACATGAAAGTGCGCAATTTGAATTAAAATAAAAAAACTAAAAATGAAATAAATGTTGCGATGAGTCAAAGATGATGTCAGTGTGCGTAAATATTTCCGTTTTCTTACCTTAACCGAACCTTTACTCAGAATATCAAAACCAATATTTGAGAGCGCGAGAAATCTAACAGACTGGAAGTGAAATTAAATTAGGGCTGGAATAAAACATGTGATTCAAGATCTAGTGAAATAAAAGTCGGAAAACAAACAGAAAGTAATTGAGAGAATCGACGGCATCCATTGGAAATTTGTTCGCAAGATGATTTATCGGAATCTAACAAACCAAATAAAAAGCATTATTGTTGTATCATTGATTGAACCACTTCACAAATTAATAAGTCTAGTTGAACAAAAACCGTGTATCAATATTTATAACAAATATTTGTTTAACATGTTAAGAGCTTCATTTAAACCAATTTGAATCTATTTATCAATTTGCGTTCAATAATAACTTCTGATACAATGAATTAAATAATATTTGGTATGATTGAATTGATTGACTTTCTATCAATTCTTCCCATAGTTTGATCCTTTTTTCACCTTCGAATGACTTATAATGTTTTGCATCATCATATAAACTGCAAATGGAAATTATAATTAATTAGAATCGCCTAATTGATAAATAATTAACTCACATAATCCAAAGACCCCTCCGCTGATTAAAACCAAATAAATAAATTGACCAGCAAGAATCATTCTTGTCACATGGTAAATTATGAATGATAAATTTAAAGCAGACCATAGGAAAGTGTTGACAGCAACATAAAATCGTGGCTTAATTCGAATTCCTTCAATCGGTGTTTGTTTTATTCCTTCACAAAACTTTCCGTATTTAAAAAAGCTTTCTTGAAGCTCATCTTTTTTCTGATACAATTTATTCAGATAATCTTGAGTCGGTTCAACTTCACTTATCGGTATTCGTTCGATGTAAACATGTGCCACAACCTTTTCACCGCGTAAAATATTAACTAGCGTCGGTTCGACCTTTGCGTTTTTATCAATAGCTATCTGAAGATTTAAGAGTGATAAGTTTTTGTAGTTTTTAAGAATTGGGACACATGTGACAAAACCATTCGCACGTGGGATCAAATGATGTCTCAAGGGCGTCAGTCCTCTCTCCAAAGCAAACTTAACAGATGCTTCATGTTTTTCTTTCGTGAAGCGAGTTCCTTCAGCTGTCATGACAGTACAAGAATTGTCAGAATATTGAAGAATGTCGTTCATTCGCTCTTCGATCTTGTCCTTGTCCTTAACAAATGAACGTTGAAGAAAGATATGCTCGGATAACCAGAAAAACCAACCACATATCGGAATATATTTGATAACATTCTTCACAAAGCCTTTTCCACTTCCTAGACATTCGAATTTTTCCAACAAAAGCCATGCGATAAGCCAGTCAATCTCATAACAATGATTCATAAGTCCAAAGTGATGTTCTTTTCCGACCTTATCAAGCGTTTCTTTCTTACAATGTATGATGAGTTCGCTGTTCGACCAATAATCAGCGATAAAAACACATTCTGTGGATTTTTATAAATTTTTGAATGAAATTTCAAATAGAAAAACTAAACTTACGAGATAACCAAGTCCAGTTAGCATAATACATTAAAGTATGAAACAATCGCTTGTTGAAGGGTTTTATCAAGATGTGTAATAACAATTGAATCACATTCATCACCAAACCAGATGTTAAAATCGTAGACAAGATGAAAAGCTGTGAAATTATATTTCTTTTGACTATTCTTATGAACCCGTTCGCCATTTCAATGAAAACTCAACTGTCAGACGTCTAACTTGAGAACTTGTGTCGATTCTACTAAAAACGTTTGTAATGAACTTACGATAGACTTTTGTTACGTTAAAATGATGAATGGAAATGAACTAACAACACCTTCATATCTTATATCTGAATATCTTAAGTTTTTGTTTACACGCAATAAGTTCATTGAATAGAATCCATACAAACAAAAAAATGTTTACACACAGCTTTGACTTCCAAGCATGTTTCCCTTAAATTTTATCAATATCAAAATCGTAAGATTTGACTTGCTGATTGTGTTAGAGTAGTTCACCTTGATGTAATTACTACGGAATATTTTTGTTGGAATAATACGAAATAGAATTTTTTCTATTAGCGACTGATCGTCGCAAGTGTTTATAATAAACTGATCTTCAATTGTCAATTGATAAGAGATAACATCTGCATTACTTTAGTGTTGCCCGATCATATTTAAAATAATTCAAATTACATTTCGTAATGGAACGTTAAAGTTTTTCTTCTCAGTCTGTTCATTAATTTACATCGTTAAACGAAAAGCTCATTCAATGTTCAATGGGCAGGAATATCGTCTATAATTATTTATCTACGTGAACAATGATCGTAATATTATTAACTTCATATCTATTCAAATCATGAAAAAATATTTAATTAAAATGTAAATGAAAGCTTTGATCATCATCTCAAAGGTTTGAACTTGAGGTCATGTCGTTAAGCATTTTATTACAAATTTTGTAATTTTATTTATAATCTAATTTTCATCAGCATTAATCATAATTGATCAATGTAAATATTTAATGCTTTAAAGGGATTATTACCGACTATTAAGTTAATAATTTCATAAAAGTCTCATTATTTGTCAAAAATAACAAAAAAACCAACGCGACATTTAAGTGACAAAAAATCGAATACGAAAACCTTGAAAAAATATTTCACTAGGTAGGGAAAATGAATCGTTCTGTTTTTCCAATTATCTATCAACCTACAATTCTTTTCAACAACTCCAGCAGTTATTTTTGAACACACGCAAAGCAATCGTTGAAACTAGATCACACAACATATTTGCAAACGAAACTTTATTAATTGCATCATTGATTATTTTTTTTCATTTAATTCATCGTGAAAGGAAAACTTAATCAATTTTCAATTAAACTGAATAAATTTAACGATAAGTTTTGTGTTTCATTTTTATCGACAGCAGATTTTGCAATTAAGTGAGGCGGAACTCAGTCAACTTGCAAACTAAGATAATAGTTAACTAGACATAGGAAGAATAGAAAAAGAATTAATAGCATTTAAGGCTGATGGAGCCCACACTGGAACAAGAAGTGAAGCTTTCGAGACGAGCTTGTTGGAAGGGTTTAAACTCCAGTGATGACGAAACTTCACTTAAAAACTGTGACGACAGTTTTGTAAGTAAACTTAATTAATGCCAGACTTAACATTTATTGATTGGATTTTTTCATTGTTCGCAGAAAGAAACATTAAACTTAAACACAATTAAAATAACTGGATCATTCCAGAAGTTATGTCAATTCGTTACAAATATCTTAGTTGTTAACTTAAATATTTTTCTGTTGGAATTTCCACGAGGGAAAATGACGATGTTATCAAAAAAACATTTGATTACCTTGGTGCTGATAAATGTGCTCTTAATCAATTGTGGATATGCAAATGCTAGGCCAAACTTAGAAGCAAGCTTAAATTCTGATGATGCTGTTCAACCACAAAATCTTGCACCACCTGATCTAAGCAGTTCATCTATTGATGGCCGAAGTCATGATGATATTGATTATAAAACTGCTAGCTTAGCTTTAGTTGATCATGACTCAAAAGTTGGCCATGCGAAAGCTGGTGGTCATGAAGTTCCAGAACGTTATCCAATTACATCAATTGATTTTGGACGAGTGGAAACGCCTTTCATCATTAGTGTCTGGATATTGTTTGCTAGCATCGCTAAAATCGGTGAGTTCGCTGAATAAACAAACTCTTAACTTGTCACACTAATTAAATTCTCATAAATTTGAGATCATATATCTCGAACACATAAACAATCAATTGACCTAATTGATAAACGAATAAATTTATCGGATTTTAAATTACTTGAAACTCTTTTTTCTTTGAATACCAACCGTTTGTAAAAAAAATATGTGGTGGCGTGTTAAAAGCAGTGTTTACACTAAAAGATTCTCATTAAGTAAATGATTACATATAATTGTTGGAATTTTGCATTACACGACATACTGTGTGCTTAATTGCGCAACTAGCATGTCACCCAGGGAAATGAACAAGCGTGGCAACATTGTATGTAATTAAGTTCATGAATATTCGTTTTTACAGGCTTTCATATGGCACCCAAGATAAACAAAGTTCTTCCGGAATCTTCACTACTGATTGTTGTTGGTGTAATTATCGGACTGATTCTCTACATGTCAACTCAATTCCACGTTTCACCACTTACTCCCAACACATTCTTCTTGTATCTGTTGCCACCTATCATCTTAGATGCTGGATATTTCATGCCAAATCGATTATTCTTTGATAACATTGGCACTATCTTACTTATGGCTGTGATTGGAACAATTTTTAATGTGACGACGATTGGTGAGACTTTGTAGGATTTCTCTTGAGTGCAAATAAAAACTTTTATCTTTATAGGTGGCTCGTTATATTTATGCGGTAAAATGGGAGTTTTTAATGGCATCGAAACGCCTTTTCTCGACATTTTCCTTTTCGCATCGTTAATTTCTGCTGTCGATCCAGTTGCCGTACTTGCAGTCTTTGAAGAGATTCATGTCAACGAAATCTTGTACATTGTTGTTTTCGGCGAATCGCTTCTCAACGATGCTGTTACTGTTGTACTTTATCACATCTTTGAAACTTATCATGTGATGGAATTTAATGACGTTCAAGTTCAAGTTCAAGATATTGTCAACGGAGTGCTTTCATTCATTTGCGTTGCCTTTGGTGGTTGTATTATAGGTAAGATGATATTTCAATTAATTTAATGAAGTTTCATGTGTCAATTTTAATTCAAGGTGTGGTTTGGGGATTCTTGACTGGTCTTGTGACACGATTTACAGACCATGTTCGTGTTATTGAACCAATTTTTGTTTTCATCATGGCTTATTTAGCGTACTTAAATGCAGAAATATTCCATTGGAGTGGTATATTGGCGTAAGTGAAACATTACACGATTTAATGAATGATAAGCAATTTTAATCAAATTATTATTAATTTTTTTTCCACAGAATAACTTTTTGTGGTATCACAATGAAAAATTATGTGGAGGCTAATATATCGCACAAATCCCATACAACAATCAAATATGCCTTGAAAATGTTGAGCAGCTCATCGGAAACAATTATTTTCATGTTCCTTGGAGTTGCAACAGTCAACAACAACCATGAGTGGAACACATGGTTCATCATCCTGACAATAGTTTTCTGTTCTGTTTTCCGAATTATTGGTAAGATTTGAGATTGTGATAAAATTTATCAAAGAGAAATTAATCAACTTCTTCCTAACTTTCATATCAAAAGGTGTCATCATACTTGTTGCAATGGCAAATCGTTTCCGAATACACAAATTGTCAAAAGTCGATCAATTTGTGATGTCATATGGCGGGTTAAGAGGAGCAGTTGCCTTCGCACTTGTGCTTTTAATAGATCCAGCAACAGTGAAACTCCAACCACTTTTCGTAACAACAACAATATGCGTGATATATTTTACTGTCTTCTTGCAAGGTATAACAATTAAACCACTTGTTAGAATTTTAAATGTGAAACGAGCAGAAAAACGAAAACCAACGATGAATGAAAGAATTCACGAACGCTTCATCGATCATATGATGGCCGGCCTTGAAGATATCGTAGGAAAAACCGGTAACTACAATGTCCGAGATAAGTTTAAGAGGTTTGATAACCGCTTCGTTCGTCCATATTTGATAAGAGATCTTCAGGTGAGTTTGAAGCTTGAGTAGTTAAAAATTAAGTTCATTCATGAATTTTTTAATGACAGGGAGCCGAGCCAAAAATTCTGGAAACTTATTCCAAGCTTGCTATGAAAGATGCAATGGAATATATGCGACGAAATCCATCAACTGTAGGACAAATGTCAGGAACAGAATCAATGAGTGCTTTGTTCAGAAATTACACAGGAATTCTTGGTGGCAGGTTCGTTAATGAATACAAAACATGTGGAAGTGAAAATTCAAACTTTTTTCAAACAGTCCCAGCTTTTCCAACTTTGAAAATTCAACGAGAAATCTTGACATGCAGGAACTTGATTATAATCCATCGAAGAAAGATCTTACAGACGCAAAGATTCATCATTTACTTGCCGAAGAATTGAAACCTTACAGACGGGTGAGTTTCATCATTCAATATGTCAAAAGTTCTTTAATGAAAAGCTTTCAGCGTAAATATTATTAACAAGAGTATGCTGGAAGCTTAGAGTAATATTTGCATGATCATTAAAGTCTTAGAAATTCTTTTTAGATTTTCAAACATTTAAGCTTAATTGGATTAAAAGATTACTTTCATTAATAAATTTTCAATTACTTTCTCTCCATCCACTGACCTTTTTTCCCCACCTACGTCAAAAAAATAATCATGAAACATTTTATACATCTTCACGATGATGGTTGACTTTGCTCGTCTTATATAATTGATTATTGCTGATACGAAATATTTAACTGATAATTATCATCAACTTTGTAAACACTCAGGCTTCATTGTCGGCGGTATGATGAATTTTCGTTCATGTTACTTTGTTCATGTCTTTTCTTCTAATATGATTTTAACAAAGTTTTTAAAGTGTTAATACTTTTAAAATATTTTAATGGCTTCTAAATTTTTGATTGAGTGTGTGAAAAATTACTTTTTTTTATTTCTTTTTATTCTCCTCTTTTGATCATAAAAATGGTCATTAGGAAGAGGAAACTTTAACTTTCAATGTTCTTCTTAGTTTTTAACAAATTAATTGGTTTGGTCTGTCTGTGCTCGGTCTGTGCTTACAGTTTACACTGTGTAAGCTATCAAATGCATTTCGCTCATTAAAACTTTTCAATTATCTATCTTTTGTTTAACATTTTAATTAATTACAAGAAATATAAATTATCAATCCATCCGATATAAAAATCATTCTCTCAAGTCTTGTTTTTGCACGTGGAAAACTTTCAATAAGTTTTATCGCATGAACAGTTTTTTGTTTCACGTTGAAAAATGAGTCAAGATGAAAATTAATTTGTGTTTATATAAATTTTAGCATCGTCGCTTAAGCTACAGCAGACATGCAGTTGATGACAGGTTTGTATTAGTTTGACTATAAAAAAGAGTTTACGCTAATTTGTTTATCTTCACAATAGGGATTTGTCAACACAGGTAGACATTGAACAAATTTTTTATAGTTGACACGTGACTTCATTGTAAATATTTAACTACTGTTCCAAAGGTGAACTACAAAATGCGAATGAACATCAGACGAATGGCGCAAGGTGATAGAAAGCATCACAAGCGAAGTAAAAGACTTAACAAGGTACAAGAAGAATCCAATTTTGAAATTTCCTTCATGTTTGTCATCCAATAATTTATTGACTTTTCAATAGGATGGAAGCAAACAGAATCATGTATCATTCCCCGAATTCCAGCAAAACGGATCGGCAAAGCAATTTGCGAACGGTACGGAATCGCTTTCGAATCAATCGAATCATCTGTCATTAAGCAAAAAAATTAAACGAAAACATTATCATAAGAAATATCGTAGACTAGAAATAGGTAATAACATTTGCATTGCTGTCGAGCGCCACATATTTCCACCCACATGCCTGATGTTACTTTTCCTTGATGTCTTATGCTCGTTTGAACTTTTATTTAACTTCTCAAAATATTTCAGCAAAAAATTCTTTGCGATGTAAATGTTTATTTTATGATGCATCATCACATTCAAATCAGAGAAAGGAATGTTTAAAATGTTTTAAATAAAAAACCTGCTCGTAGAAAGTTTTTCAACCTTTTCCATGAATGTTAAATTTTTAATTGTGATTTTAATGTTTACACGAAAGCATCGAGAGGAATCAGAACGCAATGCAATATTATTATCTTTGTTAAAATACTAACATACATAAATAGATTCACCAACTTCATTTAGTTATAAGTTCATTAAAACTTTCATCACATTGCATCACCATTTCATTTTATTTCCTACATTTGCACAATGCTTTTTTAATTTTAAACAAAAAAGAATAATTTTTAAGTTTCTCGATGATTTCAAAGAATTTTGCTAACTGCTTTTGCTTCGTGAATTTTTTTGTTTCTTCTTAATTCATTTCACTTGTTTAGACTACATTAATGAAGTTTTACATGAAAATGAAGAAGATGGCAGACACACTCAATCTGATGACTGGGAAGGTGGACTTACATTCATTGCCAAACCATCTCGTGAGTATAAAAGTTTATTTGAACTCTTTAAACTTCTGATTTTATTTTGTGTTCTCCACATTTCTTTAAATAATTTATCAACAAGAAGAAATTAACAAAAAGTCTTTTTGATGTCGTTCAATTATTTTTGACGATCCTCTGCATTTTCCTTTTCTATCGCTCTTTAAACTTAAGCCGCCTCTAAAATAACTTTTATTAATGTAAATTTCTATTCAGTACGCACTTGATGTTATGTGATAACTCGAGAAGTCTAAAATTGATGATTTGATTTGAAATTTCAAAACATTTTTCAATTAGAAATTTTTATCTTAACGTTACCGTGAATAATTCATTCACGTGCTTCACTTTAAAAACAACACAGATTCTTTCAACCGTACAAAATTGTTATGCACATTCTTGACACATCGTGACATCTTTTAAATGTAATTTTTTAATGAGCAAAAAGTATTTTCACAATGACATTAAAAATTTTATTGCAATCCTACAACGTGCATTTGCAAAACTATTCAAAAGTTTTATGATTTTTCATTTGCTAAAGATTTTTGTTTTTAAGATCTGTAAAAACCAATAAATTGAATATTTTAATAGATACAAATATAAAGGCGAACATTTAAATTGATTTTATTTTATTTTCTTTTCGAATCTGCTTTCAATCATCTTAAAATGTTAAAAATAATTACAAACAGCCGATTCTGAAGAAGGATCTTGCAATGGAAGAAATAGCAATAAAAATGTTTTGGTTGCACAAATCAGTAATCTCAATGATCCGTCAAAAGCACGTTCCGTCAAACATTTATCATTGAATCAGAATCAAACAAAGGAATATTCTGCGTTAGATTTACTGCCTACAGCTGCAGAAGCTTTCTTTCCATGGCGTCATGAAAGATCTTTTCAGAGTCTGATCTTTGGTATAAGAACAAGAAAAAGTTTAAGTTTTTGCAGCGCATTTTATTTACTATTTAGTTGTTATTTTACTTGTTATATAATCCGACTACATCAATTCATTTCCTTGACAATCTGGCACTTTTTTATATTCAAAAGAAAAAATTCAATCAAAATACTTTCAGCTCATTTATCTCATCTAATGAAGGGCCACATTTTTAGTTTGCTTTCTTTGTCCCTTCATTGCACAGATTTCTGTTGCAAAGTTATCGTTGAAGATTTAGAATAGACGTTTTTTGCATAATCAAGCAAACAGCTAAATATATTTCACGTTTCTATCGCAACACGCTTCATATAAAGCGATTAATCATTTTCATAAGATTTGCTAAATTTTCACAAATATGTTTGCCTCATACTTTGCATAAATATGTTCATTTCGCTGTGCATAAGTATCCAAAAATAAATATCTTTAGCATGAGAATTTCTCGTTACATTAAAGGCACACAAACAATTATCAATGCTCAAATAAAAAATCTTTTTATGTGAAAATTAGAAATTTTACGAGAAAACATTTTTAGTCAATACTTTCTGTTGACTTTGTTGTTTGAAATAATTCAATATGATAGCAACCTTTTATGCTGCATGTTTTCATCATGTGTGCATATCTCATCATTCTTTACAGTGCTTCCTGAAATTGGTTTTGATTCTTATATTTTCTAAATTTCTTATCAATGTTTCTTTCTGACATAAATTTATATGCATTCATACGTTTAGATGAATGAAACTCCGCTGTATTGTAATTCAGTTACTCGGCTTTTATACTTATCAATGTTTCATAATAAAACTTAATTCAACTTTATGGTATTATAACTTTTCCTTTCATAATTCTTGTCAGATGAAAGCAGTGGAACATCTGAAATGCCTAACAATGAAGTTAAACGATTCTCTCGTGATTCTGAAGGTAAATTTAGTAATAAAATATTTAAGATTACAATTTACAACTTTTTTTTTAACCTTTGAAGGTGAAAACGCTTCTACGCCAACAGCAACTGAATCGATATTGCCTTGGAAACGTGGTGAAGATGATAGAGAAGAAAATGGTGCCATCCAACAAACAGAATTTCCTGCTTGGGCTAATAATAAAGAATATTTAGCTTACAGTTCACCAAGTGCTACTTTCTTAGGTAAATAGTTAACATCTTCAGGAATTTTAGCGTCGTATGAACAATTTATTAAGAAATGAAGTTAAATTTATGAATATAGAGAACAGAAAATTATCTCTCATAGCATGAATCATTTGAAATATGTTGTTGATACTTTATGCAACATAAAACATAAATCAAAGTTTATAATTCAATAGAATCAACTTTTTCATAAATATTCAAATATTTGTAAGCATGATTATTGAAATCATTCATATTAGATGAAGTATGTTCTAATTAAATAATTAAATATTCCATTCTCTTCCCAAGAATGTATCACGAATAAGTTTGCTTGCACTTTCAAACTTTAATTGCATTTTTTTTTTCTTCTTTTCTTTTTTTTCTTTCCATTTCTTTTATTTCATATTTGAATGCTTGCTTCACTTGTCATGCACATATCCTTTACTTTGCACTCACCTTGTCAACTTGCCACTGTTTGAAAATGTGACACACGATAAATGTGTGTGTGTGTAGGTGGTATTGCCAAACCTAAACAGAATTCTGTAATAGGATTATTCAGGACATCAATTTCGGGTCAAGGGCAAAGTGGAGATTCTGATTCATCGATGAAATCATCAGGAAACACTCCTGTTGGAAGAGAACTTCGATCGGCTTCGATTGCCCATACTGGCGTTATTTACGATGTCGATGCTGTCGGTCACGCAGGCCAATTCCCAGTCACAGCAAGTCATCGACGCAACACAAGAAGAGGTTCAATGCTGGAGGTTTCTGGGTAAGTTCTAAGGAAAATCTTCATATAAATGTTTAAATGATGACATTGTCGTACTTTATTGAACAATAAGATGTTTCATCATTATCTCTTTCTCAACTACTTATTTATTTAAGATGTGATGGGATATAACTTAAAATTAAATTGATGATAAATATTCTTCAACGTTTGTTTGACACTGTTTTCTTACATTAAAAATTAATTAATTACATTCAATATATTCACGTTTTATGTACCATTTTCTTACTATCTAAATCTTTAAAATGAACGATGAAACAGAACACATTCTAGAATAAAGCTACATATGTTTTCGAAAGCACTTCGTAATCTACCGCTTTTTGTGACGTTTGCTTACTTGCTTGCTTTTTTACCTCATAATTGTAAATATTTAAGAGAAATTGCTTTTTGGCTTGCTTTGGAAAAAGGAAAAAGACAAAAATTTATCATGCACTTCTAAATTGGAAAAAAATACACGCACAGAACACAAAACTCGTACACAATTTTCTATAATTTCATTCATGTGTTGATTTATAATTATCCACTTTTGTTTTTGTGAACACAATTCGAAATTTACTAACTAAACGGAGTTGGATTGATCTGTGAATAAGTAGTAGTGCATGCCAACCTTCCGATTTTTTCCATTTTCTTTTAATTTATTTTTTCACAGACTTGTGTTAAAGGAACGTCGACCAAGTCTTGTAGTAGGTGGACGTCGGCCAAGTCTAGGCGGGCGTCGGGCAAGTCGACGAATTGCTCCAATGCCATTCCTTGAAAACATTGAAAACATCGAAGTGGATTCTGACAACGATTCTGATAAAGACACAAGACTTTAACATCTTTTTTTTGTTATTAATTTTTATTCTATTTCTTGTCATCATAAGCTTGATGACTTGAGAAAGACAAACATTTAATTTACTCCCTTGTAGTACTAAAAGCATGGTTCTTTATCTTACCTTAGCATGTTATTCCTTCAATTATGTTTTGAAAAGAACGAATACTTCAACTAAAAGTTTACAGTTCGATTAATTATGATCTTTATTTAGCATGATGCATTTGAGAAGCGTATTAATTAGTAAATAGTAGATAGAAGCAATATTAGCTTACAGTAGTTAGTAATGTAATTAATTAGATGTTTTAATTGTGAGCTTTTATTAGCAAGCGGTAGCTTTCGAAAGACATGAGAAGCTTTCGAGTATCGTCTGTTGATTCGCACATACAGTAATTAAGAAAATTTATGATGTTAACTTTTATGTACATAATAAATGTCCACACATCAAAGTTGATATTCTTCTATAAATAAATAAAAAAATAATCAACGATTTGTGAATTTGAAATGCTCGCTTTTCGGGAAGGCAACGCAAAAAGCTTTTAAAATTTTATTTAACTTTTCAACTTTGCAAATTTCTTTTATTTTTTTTTGATATTGCTTATTCCAACAACAGGGATGCGATCCCCGAAGAAAGTCAAATCACAACAAAATCCCTTCCAACAAGAGGACAACAAAGATTGATTCTTGCGAAACAAAGTCCAAAAAGTACCAGAAGTCGTCAAAGCAACATCCAAACAGCTTCACTTTTAGCACATAACTCAAGCTCTGATTCAGACAATTCGGATGTTGAGAGAGGGAAACTCATGAAGACTAAATTAAAGAAGAAGTTCTCAGTTGGCGATAGTGATGATGACGATGACGATGATGATGACGATGATGAACAAGAAGGGCTTCGAATGAAACGAACTTGAGAATTTCATAAATATTTGAGGCTTCAAAATATTCAAATATTTAATTCGATTTCGTACTGTTTAAGTTTCATCTGTTGAGATAAATTATTTTACTTAATTTAAGTGTATGTAAACTTATAGTATTCGATGATGCTTTTCTGATAAGTAACATAAGTTCCAGATTAATGAAATTCAAGTTATCAGTATTTTCATCTTTTTAATTTCCTAATTTTTTATTACTTCAACTTTCGTTATTTTTAACTTTATTTAATTTAAGACATGCAACGCAAATGAAATAATTAGAAGAAAGTTTGAAGGACTTTATTAAAAGGTCACAAATATTCGACTGAACGAATAATTCCTGCAAGCACAACAACAAGAATAATTTATTAAATTATTAAGAAGCAACTTTCTCGAATGTTGGCACAAAATCAACGAATCGAATATTTTTTAAATCAAGGAAATTATTTAATGATATTTCATATTTATGAAGTTTTGTCCAAAGTTTTAAGTTTCTTGAATTAATTAAGTAATAAATTGTCCTATGATTGAACAAATCGAATTGAAAGATTGCCTCGACGATGTGCAACAACTCAAACACTGAACTTGAATTTAAACTTTGAGAAAAAAATTGTATTTTTCCAATATTTATGTTAAATGAAAATAGGAAGATTTGACAGATCAACTAGAAGCATTTCATAGTGCTACTCAATATATTTACTTTTGTTTATTTTCGCGAGCCAATAAAGTTATGAAGAAAATAAAAAAAGTGAGATTTGCAAAAAAATTAAAATTTCTTTTGTAGTTTTCATTACAGAATTTTTCACAAGGTTTAGATTATTCTCCTGATGTCAAGCTATTTAGGATAATTTAATTTAGATATGTTAATAACAAATTAGGATGGACGATGTAGGATCCTATACTGTAAAGAAATTGAATAAAAAGACGATATTGACGGAGCTTTAAATATGCATCCGTTCTCTTTATTCGTTATTCTGTATACTGAATTACATGACAATCATTTACATATTGATTGGTTATTTCCTAATACTGCATACCCCTACAGACCCAATTATAAATATTTTTTTCAAAATTATAAATTTTAAGTACCAACACCAAAACTTATGAAATTCAATGAAATTTTACAAATGAAAATAATTCAATCATTTTCCAAATGACTCCTTTACAGATGAAGTTACTGTAACTATTGAAGTTGACGCAATCATCAATTTTCTCCTTTCAGTAAAATAATTTAATATGCCTTTATAATCTCCACTCGGAAATATTGAAGGGATTTCATCTACTTTGATAGCCTGATTTGTAAAGTTAACAAACTGAAACGAAACTTACAAATTGATTAAAAGTAAGAACATGAATTCTCTTTAATTACAGTGTATGGACATTTATGAAGCACTCCAGGAATAGATGCATTAACAATTCTAAAATGTTCATAAACCAATTTGTTTTTGGTTCCTTCCTCCATTATTTTACAAAAGTTGATATTATCAAAATGCATAATTTCTCGATAAATATTTCCATATTTGTACAGCAGTTTGCCATCAATCTTAAGAAAATTTTAAAGAATAAATTTATGTTCTGTTTCTATCTTAGTTCAATTTCATTACAAATATTTGGTAAAGTGGTTTCTTGAATGTAAGAATCACATTTTCACCAGAAAATGATCGATTAAGTATGTGATTTCGCATAGCAAGAATAATTTGGAAACACAAACTCATCCGAAACATTGCAAATTAAACTTCGATAGTAAAAATGTTGTTCATCTTTTGATAAGATTAATTTGAAAAAAGTCAGTGAAGCTAAAGCTTTCAATATTATTTTTAAAAACGACATGTTACTGTTTTCAACTGAAATAAAAATTGAACATTGCACTATGGGTATGGTTAGGAACAAAAAGTATTAAAAGTCGATAAATTTTAAAATGTACATTTTAGGTATATGGTGTCTTTGGGAAAGTTGTTCCTCAAGACATGCTGCACATTAGACTTTCATACTTTTTTTCAGTACGATGACGCTAGAAGGGGCTAGAGATAAGTTTATAATAAATTAATTTCTAGCGTCTTCTGACGTCAGCCTACTGCAATAAAATCTAAGAAGCAGATGTGCAGCATGTAATAGGGAACAACTTTCCCAAAGACACCATATACCTAAAATGTCATTGGAAGGTAGTAAGAAGATATATTCAAAAATGATACATTAAAAAAAAATTCAAAGGAATTTAAACATCAATTTAAATAACATTTTTAAAAATGAATAAAACAAATGAAATTAAATTAAGGCAAAACAAAATTCTTTTTATATTTATTTATAGTTATGATAATAATTACAAATTAATATCATCATTAATATATTCAACAGATTATTATGATTCTGTTGATGTCATATTGCTGTCTTGAGTTTCGTCTTCAATGTCATCGATGAATGTTATATTCTCATCGATTATCATGAGACTCTTCGCAGCTTCTGGTATGGTATGTTGTTTGCTGTTTTGGATCCTTCTCTTGATGTCATATTGAGACAAACACGGATCCGATGACTCGAGAGCACGACAAAATACAAATACAAATAAACTTCAATGAAACTTGTGATTTCTCAATGCTGCTAAATAGTTTGATATTTTGAGTTCTAATATGTTCTAGACATAGCTTAACTACGTTATCTTCAGACTCATTAATATTTTCTTTTATAATATTAGCGAAAAACTCGTTTTTTATTTTCATTTTGATGCTAACATGTAAGTAACAATAATATTTTTAATATTGAATGTCAAAGTAAACTAGATCATTTTCATCAAAAAATGTCAAATCTTCATACATTTTCACAAAACATAGGCTTACGTTTTGTGGAATAACTTTTCTCACAGGGCGTAGTTGGGTTTTTCCTTACACAGCATTGTTGATGAAGAATGAGCGGACATTTCTGTTTTTGCATTTTTTCATTTGAGGAATTGACCCAAGAGAAATTAAACCTCAAAAATGACGATTTTCATCAAAAAATGTCAAATCTTCATACATTTTCACAAAACATGCTCTCACGTTTTGTGGAATAACTTTTTTCACAGGGCGTAGTTGGGTTTTTCCTTACACAGCATTGTTGATGAAGAATGAGCGGACATTTCTGTTTTTTCAGTTTTTCATTTGACGAATTGACCCGAACTTTTTTGAAGTTTGAAAATGTCAATTTTTAATGAAGAAAAAAAATGAAATTAAACTGAAAGAAAAATTTTCCCTTGAATTTTCCGGAAAAACTAAATACAAGATTTTTCTCATAATTTAGTTGTTAATGAAACGTTGTATTCAGTTTTTCCATTTCTAAATAAAAATTAAAAGATATTTCAAGTTTTTTGAAATGATAAACAAAATTTATTACATTTTCGATCATGACATGGTCAACTTTGACGGCATGTGGGGCAAATATGGAAAATGCCCGAAACAAAAAAATACAGCAAACATATTCTACATATAGTGTAGATAATTTTTAAAAAAAGAATTTTTAAATTCGGCACAACTTAACTCTGCCGACTTAATGGCCATAATTTCCCATAGTGCATCGCGAGTGATTGCGANNNGAAAGTTGTTCTTTGATACATTTTGCAACTTTTTTTGATAAATTGTATTTCTGTAAGAGGACACCAGAGGGCGCTGGAAATTAATTAATTACAGATTTGTCACCAGCGCCCTCTGGTGCCATTCTACAGAAACATAATCTAGAGAGAGAAGATGGAGAATGTATCAAGGAACAACTTTCCCAAACATACTTTATACCTAAATATAATAGTTTAGTAATTATAATAATGAACTGCACATCGCGAGATAAAAGAATTTATCAAATTCTTGTCAAGATTATGTCTTATTTTGTGCATGAATTATTATTGTAGTTTAGCTATAAAACCTAAACTATTATATTTAGGTATAAAGTATGTTCGGGAAAGTTGTTCTTTGATACATTTTGCAACTTTTTTTGATAGATTGTATTTCTGTAAGGTGCCACCAGAGGGCGATGGAAACAAATTAACTAATAATTTATCTCCAGCGCCCTCTGGTGTCCTCTTACAGAAATACAATTTATCAAAAAAAGTTGCAAAATGTATCAAAGAACAACTTTCCCCAACATACTTTATACCTAAATCTGATAGTTTATGATTTGTAGCTAAAGAACGAAAGTTACCTTTGAAAAATATCATACTTACGTTTCATATGGAAAATTTAAATTCATTTATCTCGCGATGCGTAGGTTTTAGAACTTTATGTTGTATGAAAGATTTGTTCAGAATTGCTATTTGAACATATCATAAGAAAACATTGTACATATAAAACCAAGTTTTCTATGTGTAAAATGAGTTTCAAAAACTCCCATACAAAAAAACATCAACCATGACAGCCATGACGTCAGGCTGACGTCAGGCATGATTTGACAACCCTAGCGATAGTGATGATGACGATGACGATGATGAACAAGAAGGGCTTCGAATGAAACGAACTTGAGAATTTCATAAATATTTGAGGCTTCAAAATATTCAAATATTTATTTCGATTTCGAACTGTTTAAGTTTCATCTGTTGAGATAAATTATTTTACTTAATTTAAGTGTAAGTAAACTTATAGTATTCGATGATGCTTTTCTGATAAGTAACATAAGTTCCAGATTAATGAAATTCAAGTTATCAGTATTTTCATCTTTTTAATTTCCTAATTTTTTATTACTTCAACTTTCGTTATTTTTAACTTTATTTAATTTAAGACATGCNTTGAGAAAATCCATTTTTTTTCTTTCAAAAAAAAAAAAAAATTTTTTTTCTTTAAAAAACTAAAATGATGTTCATAAATATTGATAAAATAAAAAAGGAATGAATTTTTATATTCACAGTGTATGGGCATTTATGAATTATTCCAGGATTAGATTCGTTCAGAACTTTGAAATATTCTCGTACCATCAAATTGCTTGTTCCTTCCCTTATCACCTTACACATTTCAATATCCTCGAAATGCAACACTTCTCTATAAATAGTTCCATATTTATACATGAGACTGGCATTTATCTGAAAACGAATATAATGAACATTTATTAGTTTGTGAGTTTTTCTGATTTCGTTTTCTTTTACAAAAATTTGTAGAGCGGTTTTTTTAGTGTGAAAGCCACGTGTTCGGAAGAGAATGATCGGTTGTATGATTTTGCGTAACAGGAATAATTTGGAAAAACAAAATCATCTGAAAACTTGCAACGTAATCCTCGAATATAAGTTTCTTGCTCTTCTTGTGATAAAATGAATTTTAATAAAAGAAATGAAATTGTAAAACTCAAAATTATCTTCAAAAATGCCATGTCTGTATTCTTTCACTACTAGAAGAAAAATGTCAGAACGATGGAAAAAAACGCATTTTTTGTAAAATTTAGACTATATAAAACTAAACCATTAAACGCACAAATGTACAACAATTAATAAGATAACATATGATCGTTAATAAATCTAGTTGGAAGTAATTAAAACAAAGGAATTAGTGATCAAACAATATAATCATATTAATATGAAAAATCTCACATCCATATATGAAAAATTGAAAAATCAAAAAGTAATTTTCGTTTCACACTATGAACGCGTAACTTCAACCATCCTTATTGTTCTTACATGATGATAGTAGAAATCGAAACAATAAAAATTCTAAACTCACAGACGTTTATATATGAAGTATTGTCTGTTATCAAGTACTGGCGTAGCATAATGACAACTGCACTAGTCCGGTTAATTAGAGATTGCTGGTTTGATTCCAGTCGTCAGAAAAATTTACTTTTTAATTTTTCAATTTTTCATATATGGATGTGAGATTTTTCATATTAAAATAATTCATTGTGCACTGTCTCGTAAAATCCTGAGTGTAAAAAAATTACCTAAATATAATCATAATTAATGATACAACCGATCATTCTCTACTGAAAATGTCTTTCTCACAATGCACAGTGTAAAATCTTGTATGGGAGAGCGGACATTATTAAATATCTTTTAAACTGTCCGTCGGATCCCATTACAATGTTCCTAGAAAATGTTCGTTATAAAAATACCCGACATATTGGATCGTTTTTAGTTCGACCCTGCGCCGTCA